TTTAAAATAAAATATTCAGCAGCAGCAGTCACACTGCAAGCAGGCAGATACCCTCACATAGCAGAAGAACGCTGGAAAGGCCCGAAGCGTTCTAAGTCCAGTGCGCACCGGTATTTGCATGAAAGTTCGAGTGTTACTGTCTATCACAGAAAGGCAATCCCCACATTAACAGAAAAAAAATCAAACATAGGATGACCTTCTGTAAGGCGGTCACGAGGTGGACTGTAGACGACTCGAAACATGTCGTCTTCTCCGATAAATTGCTGGATGAAATCTTCCACCCACCAAACAAAAAATAATGTTTTTTGGCTCCAAGTCGTAACATGGTTGAGAATTTCGAATTTCCAACGTTTAGCCCCACAGTTACGTCCTTTGTAGGGCTCTCTGACCTCCGAATTGTAAGACAAGTTAAACGATAAAATGGTGAATGTTACAGCGAGAAGGTCCTAAAGTAAAACCCGTTCAAAAGATTGGAAAATAATCGTGTGAACAGCCAAAATCTGAGAATAAACATGTTCCGGACACTTCCAGGATTATTTTTTTATGCAGGGCAAAGCCACATTTAATACAGCCCTGGAGATCCAGAGGTTGCTGTCAGAGAAAATTCCACACTTCTAAGTGCAATGCTAATGGAGGACGCTTCTGGCCTTCTGAAAAGTTTAAATGCTTTGGGTATTTATTTTCATATTGCCGTTCGTGGTTCCCTACTGCCTATCAGCATATAACTATCGTTTGCTCAGATTGTTCTGCTATACTCTCAGTCATCTTTCTAACAGATTCGTCAGCTGGCGGAGACTTGTATCGACCACACGGTGAGCGGGCGACCCAAGTTCCGGAACATCCTCAAGACACTTGCAAGTCTGGTGCCCGCCGGTCGATCCATTGGACATCATATGCTGAGAGCGGCCAATATGTAAGCTGCTGGGTTCTAGACCGCCTTAGCGTTTCTTCGAGACTTTGCTTATAGTAATTTTCACGTGCTCCGTTCATGCCCCCTGCAGACGCACCAACGATCTCAAATCTCACATCGTTTTTGAAAATCTCAAGGTGTCTCGCCAGAGGCAGCAACTCTGCCACAAATTAGATAACCTCTTTCCGCGTGAATACTGCCAGAAGATTCTTGCCGGCCTGCCCCAGCCAGAGTCGGAGCTCCATATGATAGCGATTTGCGTTGTTGGAGTAGTGCAGGTCGATAAGGCTCCCGTGTTAGGCGCAAGCGAGAAGGATCATGTGAGTGCAACAGCACTGCCTACTGTCTGAACTTCATTAACTTCTTTTTTAATTCTGTTTTTATCCTTGTAGATGCTCGACCATCTGTTATTAGTAAAATCCATCGCAGGACAAAAAGCAGCTGAAAGGGGACTTCGAATGCTGATTACCCCAGGTAGGTCAGGCAAATAGCTCGCACACTGCTCTAGTTCAAAACGCTCTCCCCAACATCTCTTAGTAATTTCTCTACCCATAGTTAATCGTTGAAAGATAATTCCCATTTGAAAAGTCAAGCCGACGGTGACAGTCTGATTTCGAGCTCATTACGCTTATTTGGCGTGCCTACCTACTTATTTCTTAGTAGTAGGTATGCTTTGTTTAACTACTTTGGCATTGGTCGTATGACACAATCCATCCACATTTTACATTTACCCCCCCCCGGGAAAATCTCTATTAATTCGCGAATACCTTTTACACGCTATGTTGTGTTTACTTTAGTTTTAGTTTATCTTAGTTTTCAGTCCAGTTTAATTTTATTTCAGTTTAGTTTTTAGTTTCTTATTTCGTTTTATTATGTTTGGTTTAGTTTAGCTTAGTTTTTATTTTACTTAGTTAAGTTTACTCTAAGCAAATATAAACTTATTAATTTAGATTTGCTTAGTTAGTTAAGTTTAGTTTTAATTTAGTTTAGTTTAATTTAGTTTAGTTTAGTTTTATTAGCGACATGCGGGTTCTTTTCGGTCTAAAATTGGCAAAAAGACAATTTTTCATGGTTTTGCTTTGATCTCTAAAGTTGCAGTCCTTTGCGCAGTTCCGCAATTTGTGCAGTTATACTATTTGCGAACTTCTTGTTTCCTATTTTTTGTTTCTCATTTTAACTATCTCACTTTTTCATTGGCATACATTCGGTTACTTAAACAATTGTTCCTATTTTTTTTCTTTTTTATATGCTCTCCTTTTTCAATTACTTTCTCTTTTCCCTGTAATGCTGCATCAGTATAACTCCTATTGCTACCGGTCCCGTATTACAGAATGCTGGGCTTTAAGGTTGCTGTAATGAGCCCGAAACCAGATTGTTACCAAGCCGACGGACCCTTCTTTTCGGTAATTCTAAACCAGACCTTTACACTTACCTAAATAATGAAAACATGAGAATTGAATTGAGCTTATAAGTGTCGCATGGGCTGATATTCCTCTTTTTTCCCGCGCTACCTGTGTGACGATATCGGAGTGATGTGGCCATTGGGACCGGGGAGAGATGGGGAGCGATGTTAGGTAAGGTGTCAGCGATGTTTGTAGGTCAAGGATGTGCCTCATAAACGGGCCGCGTGATCGGTGCGCTAAACCAACGCGGGGGGCAGATCACGGTTCGGCAGACAATAACAAATACCGAACATGGCGATGGGGCGTGGCGGCATGCATAGGGGCGGCTTCGGCCGCGCCTCCCGCCTATGCCCGATCCTGTCTCCGGTCTTCTTAATTCTGTCTTGACACCGGGCTTGAGCTAGTGAGGGAAGTGAGAGTTTGGTTGGTGCAAAGCAAGTTTAATATTACTTAGAGCTAATTCACGTGCAAGTCACTGTCCTTGCACCACGATGTTGTGAAGCATACGGTGGATCTCGCCGAAATCGATAGTCGAACTGTCAGGTCAAACACGCAGAGTTAG